CGTCGAGGAATACGAGTATAATATAAAAGAAAACAATTATTAATTATTATTGTACGATTATTACAAGCTGTAATTAGTTATTAGTTATTACTTATTAGTAATAAGTTATTACTATTGTAGTAACAAAAATTAATAGCCAAAAAAATTATTATATTATTGAACGCATAACAATGTTGACACAATGACGTACGGTAAAAAATAAGTATAAGACGGTAATTTTAAAATATTCGTACAGCTGGTGCGGTGGCATGCGATAACGTGACAGGTATATAATCTACATAGTTTAATGTTATATAACTCACAAAACACATTCAATAACAATAGTTATAACTAAAGACCGGATTTTGCATAAAATGCATGTTGTTATTTTCAACATCATATACATGCAGTCAATGAGTGTCCACAAATCATTACTTGATTGATTAAATATCAAAATTTTATACTGCATATTTTTGCATATTCTGACGTTAATGCATGATCTGCATATTTTTGCATATTTTAACAAAAACCGTACAAATATACAAATAAAAACATAGATCATAGGTACGTTTATATAATATTATAATATCAAATATTTTACGTCTCAAAGAATATCTCAAAGGCTCCGTATAGAATTCAATTATATAAAGAAATGTTGCCAATTACACATTTACCACCGCAGCCAATAATTACCCGTTGGGGTACTTGGCTAGAGTCAGCCTTTTTTTACGCAGATCATTTTGAAGAGTTCAAAAATGTGATTGAAAACTTAGAAGATAATACAAAATGCATTCAAAATTGTAAATCAATTTTTAATAAATTTAATGTAAAATATGATCTTGCTTACATTAAAGCAAATTTTTTATGTATCGTTGAAAGTATCAAAAAGCTTGAAACCTCTAATTTGTCCCTTGTAGACTCGTTAAAAATTTTAGAACAAGTGGAAAACTCTGTTAATGAACTTCCTACTAGTGCAAATAGTACAATAATTAAAACAAAATGTAAAAACGTTTTGAATAAAAATAAAGGATTAATGGTTTTAAAAGAAATTTCAAAAATACTTCAAGGTAACAGTGCTAATTTCGACGATTTATCTGTTCCAAATTATTCGCTGGATATAATAGCAAATTTTAAATATGCTCCAATCACCAGTGTTGATGTCGAACGTAGTTTTTCATCATACAAGTACATTCTTACAGATCGCCGTCATAATTTCACGGAAATAAACATGGAACATACTTTGATAACTTATTGTTTTTCAAATTAATAATTTACTACCTTCAATAAAATTGTTCGTACTTTTTTCCTATTTATATCAGTATATCACCAATGTATCTACTATTTAATTTTAATAAAATATTTTTTACAATATATCAATGTTTAAAAATTAAATTACAATTTAACAAAAAATTAAATTTTTGTACTATATTATACATGTAACTTTTTGTTTATGAAAAATGTAATAAAATTAATAAATAATTATCACTGCAAAATTAAAATCAAATATAAAATTGAAATTTTATTTTGCATGTTTTGCATTTTTTCCTTGCATATTTTGACTTTTTTTAGTGCATGTTTGCATGCATATTTTACAATTTAAAATGCATATAAATCCGGTCTTTAGTTATAACAAAAATAAAACAATATAATAGTCAATAAGTAACTATTGGCTGTAGCCCATAAGCGCAAAATATGACCCAAACGCAACCCAAAAGCGCAAAAATAAATATCCCATAAGCGCAAAAAAAAAAAATACCTTTTTAATAACCCATAAGCGCAAATCAATTTTTTAAAAAAAGTGTATTTAATTAAAATCGTAGTTATTATTAATATTTATATAAGCATTAACTGTGATATTAAAATCAGTAAAATATAAAAAATACAATTTTGAATATTTTTTAAATTGGTTAAACAAATATACGCACACGTAACACGATGGTAGCATAGGCACCTACTGATATAGGTGAATATCTGGTATATACGATTTAAAACACTCGAATTACAATTAAAAATAAAACGTCTCAATAAGTCATATAGAACATAATATCTATATAGGTACCTATGTAGTTGCAAAGCTATATAGTTATCAAAAATCCTATTTAATGTAACTTATACTGTATACACCATTATATTATATTGTATATTATAGTTATCTTAAATGATTATCAACTGTCATCGTAATGTGTTACGATAAGATACTGCCAAATGTAATAATTGTCGCGATGCGTTGCTTCAATCTGTCGTGGAACGGGTATAAGCCATAAGGCCACGCGTAAATATATGGAAAGCGTCGAGCGTCGCGCGTCGCGCGTTAGGTTAGTAAAATATTGTATCTAGTAATACAATTTATTTTTGCGCTTTTATCCCACTACCAAGGTACAAAAGCGCAAATTAATTTTGCGCTTTTGGGTTATCGAAAAAAAAGGTCGATTTGCGCTTTCGGGTTTCACCGGTAACTATTGTGTGTGTGAGACCAGCTGTTCCTCCCGTGACCGTAATTAGTGATTCGGTGTTTCCGAATTATTGTGGACAAAGTAACAAAAACTGTGTGAGTTGCGGATGAAATCTAAAAAGGTAACATACGAATTGTGGACACAATTATAAGATACTAATTGTGTACAAATGTCCAATTATTATTTTTGATTTAACGATCATGGACGTTGGGAAATTACTGTTTGATATTGACGATATTGAGACAGTTGTTAAAAAATATGTTTGATCAGTTTAACCACAACCTTATTCATGCTTGCTTAATATCTGTCGTGTTTCTGGTCGTCTATTTTCTGTATAAAAATGTTAAGTAAAAAATTTTATTTTCTTCTATTTCACAAACCACAAATGCTTGTTTAGGTGTTCACGCTAACCATTAATGGAATGTTTTATCGCAGTCACTCTATTATGTACCATTATACCAATTGATCGACGCCTTAAATGAAGTACAAATTGGTAGCTATACGAAAGTGAATTGCACCTACTGTTGTACGAAATTTAAAACGAAAAAAAAAAACTGTCAAAAAGGAGGCATTTATCAGCAAACAAATGTTGCATTATTCAAACAGTGAAATCGGTAGAGTATCATTTATACAGGCTGTTTCAAAAAAAAATTTCGCCTGAGTCCTGAAAAAGTGGCGAAGGGCAACTCACGTGGTTTTTATGAAAAAAATTTCTGTACGCAATTAGTATTACCTACGACAACAAAACTCGTGTCCGCAACTGTCATATTATAATACTGACTTTATTAATTTGTCCGCAACTAGTATAATGTGTCCTACTGATTACCTACTTAAATTATTTCTAATTTATGTTGCAGCAGAAACAACTAGAATCTAATTTAATAAAATCTTTATTTTCCTATTAGACTTCTAATTTTGTTTAAACTGGAATTTCAAATAACTTAAAAAAAATCGTAATGATACATATCTTAGATATTTTTGTTTCGGTATAAACTACTATTATGAGGAATATTTTATTACATTTTCAAGCATAACATATAGAAATTGAACATTTTATACATTTTTAACTAGATTTGGTGAAAATTTTCAAGCACTATGGTCATTCACTTTTGAATTACATTATTTACAACAAAAAAACAAAAATTGTTAGGAGGAAACTGTTTAGTTATTAATAATTATTATACGGGGAATATATTATGTCGTTAAACTTTAAACTCTAATCAGTCATAGAAAACTATTTTACTTTCCGGTGAAAATTTGTTTTAAATATAAATTGAAAAAGTTATAAAACACCTTGTATTAAATTTTTAAATCTTTGATATAAAATAATTTTTTCATGAATTTTTTAACTACAAAATAATTTAAAAATTTAAAATATCTAATATAATTAATAGATAGATAGCTTAAAAAGTGTTAAAATAATTTTAAAATATACTATGTATAAAATACGATCATATTTATATCATATTTTAAGTACCTATTTACGGTTATTCATTTTAAAGTTAGACAAAACTACGAAATCGATTTTATCAAAAACTGGAATTACGTAAAAATTACTGGTTTTCCTTAATTTTTTCCTTAGCTATTTTAAATAATATCAGAAATGTTTTATTTTTACTTGTTTAAAGTGCAATCTATATCTAATTTTCTTTCCAAAACCACTCTCAAAGGTAAAAATTGAAATATTTTTTGACTTCTTATATTGTATTAAAGACATAGTACATCATTATAAAACCAATACATTCATCGTTTCGTTCAGAATTTAAAAAGAAATAAAAAATATAGTTTTACATGATCATTGATTAGTTTTATGGATAATTCAGAGTTAATACTTTTTTTTCACTTATCACCTTTTTCATTTTTTATTTTTCTAATTAATATCTATACCTACTTATTTTTTTTTAAATTTTAGATAATTTAGTATTTTTCATGTCCAAATTAAGTCTTTTAGATACTGGAAAATGAAAAAAAAAAGGAAAATGCAGGAAATTAGCTACAATTATTGAAAGTTGACTTTATATAGGAAGCTAAATATTTATATTTTATTTATTGGTAACTTACTAAGTACCTACTACTTCAATTATTAAAAAAGTCATTCAAGTATATAGAGATTTTCTGGAGGAATTTTAATCAATGTATAATGTTTAAACTAATATTGTCAAACTTAAAGTTTTCTATTAGTTTTGTAGTTTTGTTAGGTGTTGTTATCAAGATATGTATAGTAAATCCAAAATACGAATTCAGCGTATTTATCATACTTGTAATATTATTAAATTTTAATATCTCAGTTATGGCTTATAAGTTATTATCGTATTAACATTTTCACATAATATATAAATAAATATTAATAATTATTTTTTATCTTAATTCTTAGTTTATCATATACTGTACTATTTTAATACAGTTGTATGTAGATATTTGACATTAAGAATTTTAAAGACTTAGTACCTATTTAATGGTTAAACTTTAAACAGATCTTAAATCTCTCATCATTTATTTTTAATGTTTATACTGAAAATACCTATCACAAGCCGTGTACCAGATTTTTGTAGTAGATGAGGCACTTACCGTTTTGTTTTCGGTTGACGAAGTTGCATTATCGTTTCCTGATAACGATGAGTGCGGATTACTACTATATAGCACATCCGTTACATCAACTGCTGTCGTACCGCAATTGGCCGGCAAATACGATGCAGCAACGAAAGTCTTCTTACTATCCGACGACGGCTGATTCCGGAGTTGCATATGCAGTCTTGTGACGTCCCGTTGATTACTATTAGCTGCAAGCGTTTTCCCAATCATATTTATTATTATTATTATCGTTATTGAAATATTATCTCGCAGAAGACCTGCTCGGCGGATGATCGCTGGTCGGCAAGTGTAACTGCCACCACAACCTGTTTTTCACATCACGACCCTTTCGGTTCTCTAGGGGGTGGAGCAATCGTAGCCGCAAAAGCCTCTCGGACCCACCCCGACCCTTGCACAGGGTGTGTAACACCTTGCGGTGTACGAATAGTGCCTTGGTGTTATCGTAATACATATATAGTATACATTATGGTATATTGTATTATATATACTTATATGCGATGATGTGTGCGACTCCGAATTAGTCGCGGTCGCAGCTGACCTCCTCCCTACGCCACCCAGACCTAAATTTTGATTTTTTTGTCTACGCATGGCGATATAATATGATATACGAGTATCTATATATATATCTAAGTTTCGAATTATTCATCATCGGTGTTCGTGGAGGTGGCAGTGATAGTGGAGGTGGTTTACTATGGTGGCGATGGTGGATTACTCGATCCCCGCGATTCGTCAACCCTCATTTCGTGAGTCGTAATTGGGGGAGGAATTGCGCGCAGAGGGCCGGACCCAGATCTACACACGTTCAAAAATATTATATAGTTTCGATGTATATATATATTGTGTAAATAATTATTATTATTGTTTCTAGAAGAATTTGTTGGGTTCCGTTGAAATTATATTAAGTGTTTACGAATTTAAAGGTGGGAAAATTTATTGGATTTCAACATTTTGAATAATTTATTATTGAAAAGTTCCATAAGAATCATTAGCCTTAGACTTTGATAAGTTCTTGACGATCATTTAAGTAGTTCTCTTCGCTGTATACGCGCGTATAACTATGTCCTATTGAAATAAGTATATTAGTACCCATAGGCGTAGCTAGGATTTTAAGTTGTAGGACACTTTGTACGGTCACCCAGAAAAAATAAAAACCTCGGACAGTTTGTACTATTTCAGAAAGTAATAAATTGTACATGGCGGACATTTTGTATTATTTCAAGCAAAAAAAAAATGTTGAGACATAAAATGTTAGACATAATTTGTTATTACAAAACACTGGTAGTTTACATACATAAATAATAATAATAGTTATGGTAATAAATTCGTGTTATGTACATCAGCTTTTCACATTAATTAGTGTAAGGTTTTTCAGCTTCAATATTTTATCACTCGAATTGTGGTTATGATCAGTCCATTTTGTAAATAATTCATACTACCTATGACCAAAACATACAAAAGTATTTTTAAAAAAATATGATAATATTATGATTTAGATATTATGAAAATATGATTTTTAACTTAAAACTCACTGTTTCATAAAGGTTTGTAGTAACTTTCCCCGTACAAGTGACTTTTGAACACTTCCAACGTATATTAGATTATTGTTGTTTTCTTAAAATTGTATATTCATATCCATTTTTAAAAATTTTTGGATTTAGTTTAGTTATTTGGTTTTTATTCATTTTATATTATTTTAGAGTGAACATGTTATATAATAATTCTAATAGTGTGATACCAAATACATATCTCTTGACTCTTATGCATCTCGATCATGATTCGCAATCCAAAGTTTTAAGAAATTTAATTTTATCTTATCTTTAAAATATAATTCCCGCTTTATTTATACCGTACAAATTGTTCGCGATCGAATTGTATCAATTTATTATCGCCGTACAAAGTGTCCACGATATCAGGGTATAGGCACTGTCCGATATTGACCAAATTAGGTGACATTGGCCTTGAACACGATCTCCAGGAGGGTGTGGCATACATTATTATTTAAATAAATAATATCAACATTACCACAGAACAATATATTGTTGAAAATTAGTTGAAACCGTTAAAAGAACACTGAATAATAATAAAAATATGCAAATATTGCAATTTCAAATTTGCTCGTTTCTAGTAATGTTTTTTTAGATAAAATCCGTGAAAATCACTCGGGCAATGGATTGTTTCCGTTTTTATAATATCGTAACAAATAGAGATATTTATTACCAACATCTAGTCAGATTACGGATACGGTTTTAACTTTTAGAATCCAATACTTCATATCGTAGGGATACAGTAGACCACCCAGCTGATTGAGTGTTGTTTCTATATTGTTCTGTGGTGATATGCAACTCAAACAATAGATGGTATAAACTGTCCGTTTATCAGGATTTTAATCAAGGGGGGGGGGGGGCAGTTGATAATCTTTTTTTTTTGATTTTTCGATTTTATAGTAAAACTTATTCGCTTGGTATAAGAAATAAAATTTAATTTAAAGCGCAGGGGAAGGTATTTACCACCCCCTCCCACTGCTCTATCATCGCTACGTCCATATTAGTACCTACATAATAATAAAATATTTATTTATATTAATTATTATACATACTGCTATAGTGCTGTGTAACAGTAGTATAAATAAAAGACATTTTAATGGATTTTTTTAAGTACTTTAAAACTTTCTTCCGTTTAATTAAAAGGGAAATATTTAAGTATTATATATATTTATAATTTCATGTAAACTAGTGTTTTCAACTATAGTGGTTTGCATACCTGTCATAACTTAAATCATGATTCTAAAGATTTTTTCTATTTTCATTTTATTTTTTACCAACAGAATAAAAAATAAAAATTCAATGTATCAAAAAAAGTATTTTTCACGAAATTTCATGGATTTTAATATTTTTTCTGCAATACTATCATGTTTTCGATTGACAGTCGAGTATCTCATTAAATAGGTAATAATAACTATTATTACTGTGAATATTATTAATCACGTCTTGTACTCTTGTTTATTGCTGTTACGCAACCGCCAACCTATGCAGGATTTAATATTTTATTTATTTTAAGATCTTTAATCTGTGAAAAAGAGTCCCTTGCTAAGGAAAAAAAGTTTCTCTAATATCAATAAAATTCGCTATTTATCAAAGTGGTAGTGGTTCATATAGTGTCAAAAATGATTGGAAACATTGAAAATATATTATGTATATATAATATATTATACATTACACATATTATGAAGGATAAGTTACCTCAGCAATACATAATTAGGTATGAATAAGGATATTGGATACCCACCGCAGAATTAAATTCTACTTATCGTTATTGTAAGTGTTGTAAGTTATTTTAAGATAGAAACTTTTGTTTATGCTTTTTTTATACAGGCAGATATTACTATATTAATTATATTAATTGCATAAATGTGATTCTTTTATCACACACCAATTATTATTTCAATAAGTATTAATATTTTGGGAAATATATTTTTATATAAATTACAGTCAAAATAAAACATTAAAAAAAAATTATGTTTTTTAATATTTTTGCAAGTGTTTTATTTTTTTGAATCATAACATACCTTTTGAATTACGAATTCTAAAGCAAAATACTTTTTTGGAATATTTTGATGTTTAAAAATTGAAATTTTGGAGAGTTGCTTATGATAATTATAAGTGCTTAAAGTTTTGATGAGTGGTGTTGTATCCCATACCATTTCATTTCACTCATCTAAACTATATAATATGCTTAATTATTATAAACATCTCCTCCGAATTTAAATTTTATACATCAAAATATTCCAAAAAAGTATTTTGCTTTAGAATATGAAATTAAAAATGTATGTTATGATTCAAAAAAATAAAGTACTTGCAAAAATATTAAAAAAAAAAATATTAAACATTTTTTAAATGTTTTATTTAACTGTAACTTATATAAAAAATATTAATACTTTTTGAAATAATGAGTAGTTTATGATAAAAAAACACTAAAAAATTATACCAAAAAAAATAACTTTTCATGTGTTTTATTGTCACACAACTACAGATTATTTTCTCTATTACAGTCGAATTCGCTTATTACGATGCCGTACCTATACAATGATATTCCGGGTCAAACAATTCCGAGCAATGTGTTTGGTTGGTTTTAATGGTTTTATATCTTATGTGTAGTTATTTTTTATTATCCGGTTATAACGAAGTTCGGTTATAACAATCAGATTATCTAGGTCCCTTGAAGATCGTTATAAGCGAATTTGACTGTAATGGAAATCTATTTTTTTAAACTGCAAAAGTATAATGTAAAAATGTGTAAATTAAATACAATATTATATAAATTATATATGTAATGACTAGGGTTAGGATATTTATGCACTAAAAAATGTATGAATATGTATGCACTTATGCACTAAAAATCAACTAAATATGCATGAACAATTTGAAAAATATGCATTAAAAAATAAAGAAATTTTTGGACAAAAAATGCAATAAACATTTATTATTATAGACAAATTGAAAAAAACTGAAAAAATAAAATAAAATATAAAAAAATTAAAAAGAGTTGCATTGAATAATTAAAGTTTGTTTTAAATGTTCCGCTGTAAATCTTCGTCTGTTTGGTGCTAATACGTTTTTGAATCTATTGAACAAAAAATCTCTATGTAAAAAATTGTATTTATTTAAATTATTATAATTTAATTTAGATTTATTATATATATACGTTCTGTTAAAATATCTGATAAAATTTTAATGACTCGCAGTTTTAAGATAAGTTTTGACTGTGACAATTGACAAAGCTTATCGAAAATTCTATTTAAGTAGGTACCTTTATATTATTTACTCCGAATAGGTAAAACCATAATATTGAATTCTCAACAATAAATAAGTGATAAATGATAATATGTGAAATACAGATAATCAAACTTATATAAGATTCAGTAAAATATAAAATTACAGTGTTTTTCAGCAATTTGCATCGAAAACCGTCAAATATGCGCTTAAAAACAGAAATAACACAAATTATGCACTTTTTAAAAAAAATGGTAAAATATGCACTTATATGCAAAATAAAATTATGATATTTTGAATATAAATATCATGAAACATATTTCTGTATAAGAATGGATGCTATTGGACAACCTAAAAAAAATATGCAAAATCATGAACATCCTAACCCTAGTAATGACAGAACAAGCATTGATAATATATTAATATATATTATATAACCATATTATAGCCATATAGTTAATATACATACAAGGTAATTCAATAGCGTCGCTACAGTTTGGT